TCAAGAAGGCAAGAATAACAAGGAAAGGGAAGGCATTGGAATTAAGGTAAATGAAATAAAGCAACAAGATAACGCGAAGCTAAGAGGTGAAATAATAATATGATTTACCTCATCAAGGTCTAAACCAGAAGTGTCACCATCCCCAAATCTCTCTGAGCAAAAATCACCATGCAACATATGAGTATCAGTGAAATAACAAATCTAGAAATCAGTTATCCAAAGTAATAATTACCATCCAATCCAAACTTTGAAGTTGAGTAAACCACGCCCTCCATGTTATCTTGTAGTGTAATCTGCTCCCTTGAACTAACATGATGGTCCACATAATTACTGCAGAATTGACGTTGACTTTAGTATTAAAAATTGAGCTCTAAGTGGACCATAACACAATCTTCCACCAAAATAAGATTAATTGATGTAACAGGACGAGAAGAAAAAAGATAAGTACTTCAGACATCCTTTGCTATTTACTCCATCCTTATATCTCATTTACCAAAAAATTGAGCAACTCCCTCAGAGAGCAACTATATTACTCCCTCCATTTCAATTTATGTGAACATATTTGACTGGACACGGAATTTAAGAAAGAAATAAGGACTTTCAAAACGTGTGGTCCTAAACAAGCCATAACATTTGTATGGCTATAATTATTTTGCTCTAGTGGTGAGCACCATCCACTTCCAACCAAGAAGTTGTGAGTTCGAGTCACCCCAAGAGTAAGGTGGGGAGTTCTTGGAGGGAGAGAGCCGAGGGTCTATCGGAAACAGCCTCTCTACCCCAGGGTAGGGGTAAGATCTGCGTACAAACTACCCTCCCCAAACCCCACTAGTGGGATTATACTGGGTTGTTGTTGTGTTAAACATACCAGAGTATTTGTGCGGCTATAAAAGCTTCCTATTTAGGGTAGAATTGGAAGTGTAAGTTTAAATATTTCCAAATTCAGAAAGAGATCATTCTTTTTTGGAACGGACCAAAAACGAAATACATCCACGTAACTGGGAAACAAAGGGAGTATGTTGTATTCTCGCAAAAGCCATGACATGCAGCAAGCTAGAAATATAATAAAGAGACAAAAAAAGATAGACTGAAACTGACCCCTGAAAAGTGTCATTGTCTGGCAATTCAAAATCATCAAGTTCAAAAGTCTCTGGCAAGGTGATTGAGTGATAAGGAGCCTTAGATTCTTCAGGTGGTAAATCCACAGCGGTGGAGCGAAAAGCTTGCTTGACTTTTAGCAAAGCCTCACTGCAATCGTCGAATAGGTAACCCACCTTTCGAGAATATATCCTCACAACTCCAAGCAGAAGATGGCTAGATAACCGCAATGCAATTGGCACTTCAGGAAAAAGGATTGAGTCTGTTGCAGAAGAACAAAACAAGTTAAAAAACAAAAGGAAGAATACCTTTCGTGATTAAGCGACAAAAAAAAAAATTAGTATTCAGAAGAAAGGGATGGAGATAAGATGACCTCGGGCTCTCAACCTAACAATTAGAAACATTGTTGAAAAAACACATTCATCCTATTTAAGCACGGCCTACGTTTCCTGTTTTTATTTTATTTTTTAACCAAAAGTTTCTTCAACAAGTTCTATGTAAAGTAGCTGTTCTCTTCAAAATATGACAGGCACAAAAGTCTGTTGGAACAAAAAGAACCAGACTATTCATATATTCAGATAGATATGGTAATAAGCAAGAACTTGCTGAAACTTGTATCAGTTGAGCCTTACAGAAGGGCGCTATTTTACTGTTAACTAGAGTTAATGAGCAGGATGTCACTTCTTTTACGATAGGTTAAGAACGGGTATGCGCTTTACTGCAGAAGCTCTGGTTTACTAGGTGCAGACTCTTGGTGCTTTCTAATATAACTACGTTGCATATCAGAAGCCAAAATAACTAATTAAAGAAGTGCAATACCAATGGTGATACAAGTTCATAGGCCACACAAATTTTGACCAGGTTGAAGAAACTTTGCTTTCCACATGCTTAAAAGTTAAAACCCTTAGAAAGAGGGTTTATAAGCTGCAAAATATTCCCTCCTTAAAAAATAGGCATAAACAGGTAAATCAAACGTAGAATTGGATAGTTCAAATTTCTTTCAAGCATTGCATTACATAACTCGAATCGCCTATATCTTCTTCAGATTTTGCAGCCTAAGGAGCACAAAATAGACTCAATACAAAGTTCCATGATATTAAATTTTTCATTTATTTTACATGTATGTTCAACTTGCCTCTTTGTGCAATATACTAAGAGGAAAAAGTAATTCACTAAAAGAAACTGGAAAGTATTTCTGCAAAGAAACCCAGAAAGAGCCAGAAGTAGAGCTTTCAATCTTTTTTGTGGTGAACTTTGTCACATCTTCATTGCTCCTTTGATATTTAAAGGTAAGTATCTTTATTAGAAGGAACGTCCAGTGGGAATGCGAGCCCAATACAAAGACCCAGAAAGATTCAAAGATCTCTTTTTCACTCCTCATAGTTGTATTTACTCCCCAAATTACTCCCTTGGTCCAAAGCATGACTGATTTTCTCTAATGACACATTTTCCTCCCTCCAACAATTCAAAAAACTATAAACTAGTAGTATTCATATTATTCCAAACTTTATGCAGTATCATTTTAGGTACCTATTCCATTTTGACATTTCTAATCATTACTCAGAATAGCTCTCAAACTGTCTAAAAACATTTACTCATACTCCAATAAGCCAATGTGATTCGTGCATCCAGGAATTGAAGATTTATAAAACTCAATTTGAGTGATGTAATTCTGGAATAGAAAGAGTATAATTCAAGTTCTCCTCTTACTTACAACCGACATAATTAGAACTTTATACATTTGAAAAGTTAAAATACTCAGATTTCTCAGATACAGATACATATTGGGTCTTTTTTTTAATAACCAGATATATGTTGAAGTCATTAAAGGTTGTATACAGTGAGGTTTTATATTCATATTTCTCTTCTCATCCCTTTTCGCTGCCTCTTCTTTTTTAATAAGTTCATTAACTCTCTCCTTTGTCATAAAGAGGGATGGAAGCATCCATGGACAAAGAGTTCCAATGAAAATATTTTGTATACCATTGCAGCGTGCAGATAGCTCACAAAGTCGAACAAGGAGAGTTTAACATCCTGGTACTAAGCCAACTTAAAAACATAATGAAACAACACAGAACAGCAACGCAGGAAATAATCAATTGCTAAAATTTCACTAAAATGAAAAAATGAGAGCAAGCACATTAGTCCACATTTAACAGAAGCATTGTGATTACCTATACACTTGAGATGTTAAAAAATGACAGTCAAGGACATTAAATGGCAGATCTTTTTTTATAAATGTGAAGTCAAGACCAACTTGCACGCACCTCGACTAATTCCACAAGGTATCTACTACCTCCGACCAGCAAAGGTACCGGGTAATTCTGCCCATCAAGATTTGGGCATATAGGAAGAAATCACCTAGTTTATTCTTGCTTCTGCTAGAATTTGAACCTAAGACGCATTAAATGGCAAATTTCCTTCTAGCTTAACCAATCAGGTAATCTAACCATCAAAATCCTATGAACTTGGATCAAATTTCNGGAAGGAGGGAGGAGAGATAAGTGGTCTTAAAGTACTCTTCCTTCACCACCTTGTTTTTAGGCGAAGTTATTAAAAGTTCTAACACCATTAATCGATCCAGGATAATCTACCCGAACAAACTCTTGCACTTACTTCTACCATAAAAAAGAATCTCCACGCTTAGCACCAACATGAACACAAGAAGGATCCTTTTGTCCCACATATTAGAAGGCATTATATGCTTAGTTATTCAATAAACTATGAGATTTTGAGAGCATTAACGCAAGTGAACCACATTGCTCCTGTATATTTTGTTATTACTTTGTTATGTAAATGTATATTTTACAACATGAAATTCATCCAGCAAGTATTCCAAATACGGATAAATAATTAGGCAGCAAGTCACAGTAAGCAATTGAACAGGAAAATGAAAACAAGGAGAAAGTATCTAATCACAGATGGAAAACTGACCTACGGAAACGCCAATATCAGTATCAGCAACTTGATTCTTCCTAAGTTTCCTCTCCAGATGTGCTGCAATCCATATGGTTCCCAAAGGCCCCTTTTTGGCCAATATGAACTGTGAGTAAAACATTTCTCCAAAAGAACTTCAAATTCTTCTTCTACACATACACAAATAGAATCCACAAACACCCTATTATACAACCCTAACTCCAAATCCAAAAACCCTAACTTTTTTCCCAAATCTCAATCAGGACCTGAAAAACCTACAACCAAAGAAAACCCCATCTTTACTATAAACAACATAACAAAAACTTCAATAACACACAACAATTAGCTTCAATCTACAAGAACCCATAAAATTTCCCAAACCCACAACTCAAATTACTGTGTTGGACTAAAAAGCTAGGGCTTTTCCAATAAAATTCACCAAATTCAAACTATAACCCCATCTTTACTATAAACAGCATAGCAAAAACTTCAATAACACAGCAATTAGCTTCAAATCTTCAATAATCCGTAAAATCTCCCAAAACCCACAACTCAAATTACTAGCTTGAACTAATAGGCTAGGGTTTTTCCAAGAAAAGACCCGAAATTTGAGAAACCCTAACTTTCCCTTACTTGGAAAAATTCAAGAATTCAGCTCAACCAATAATGAAATAGCAACTCCCAAAGCTAAGATCCAACTCCAAATCAGACTAAAAGTGGAATAATTAGCAGACAATTGATGAAATTAAAAGTGAATTTTTTTTGTGGGGGTGATTTGAACTGAAAGTGGGAAGCTGAGAATTTTGTCAATTTTTGAACTAACTCGTAGTTTTTGGACCAAAGCGCCTTCGAACTGAGAATAGTTGTTGTACTATTCATGTGTACTTCTGAGGGTTTAACAGAACCGTACGATCAGAGAGATCGGAAATGGACGGCTGGGATTTGAGTTGAAAGTCATCGTTACTTCTGTGAGAAGTGTACCACGTACGCTTTTTGTGTTGTGCTAATTATGTTGAAACTAAAATACTAATCTTTTGGGTTTGTTTGGTTTGCATTATATAAAATAATTATTTTTTGTATGAATTTTATACTATTATTTATTTCTTATAACTAATATAATGTTTGATTTTTTAATACAAAACCCACATGATTTGTCCTATGCGGAGTTTAATACTGGAAATCAAGTTGTTGTATTACTAAATTGTGATACTTTATATGAAAATCTTTTTATTGATTGTAATACATATATAGGAGTATGCAGAGACAAAAGATATACTTAAATTAGAAAATGCTTTTGTAATAATCCATGTATTATTATTCACCATATAACAATATATAATTATTGCACCGCATAAACACTCTATGCATTGTAATTATGCATAAATAAACTATAAACTCATACGATCTCCAGATTTTTTCTTATTTTGAAATTTACAACGTATTATGCTTTCAACACCGTAATGTGTTTAGCGCATACTATATTACTTTAAGGAAACCTATTCGAAATATTGAAGCTATTGTATTCAACAATTATAATGATATCAAATTTGTTAGGTTTGCCTTTGTAGCTCCTTTTGGATCTTTTCCTTAAGTCCTATTCTTTTCTCTTCGTTTTTTTTTTCTTTTGTTGGAACGCCTCGTGTATGTTGGGTCCTGCATCTCTTTCGATATTGTAATGACCACAAGTTCATCAATCCTGCTCTGTCCAATTTGAGGTCGTTTGAACTTAATATAGTGCTTTATATTTTTGTATCAAGATGTGAAAACTATATAAATATATGAGTTTTAGTAGACTCTTTTTTTGAGAATAAATGATATTTATATTACAACTAAGCATTCAAGTTGTTACAAGCTATAGTAGTTGTATAGGTTGAAATCTGCTACGGAACATTTAGAGCGAGAAAGCATTGAGGAAAAACCAGCTCAGGTTGATCAGGAGATGGCAAAGCCCGTGGTCGAGATGTTTATAATAGTCGAGGACGAAGTCTGCGGAAGAAATCGTAACAGCTAATTTTTAGAATATGACAATAGAGGTAATATCCAAAATAATATTCTATATATATGTACTATTAAGTTTTACTGGGGGTGTGTTCTAAGGAGGAAAAAGATAAGGACAAATGGTTATGTAATATCAATCTAATAAGAACATTTGGCTGGAAAAAAATTCTCTCCCTCTAGAAATGATACAAACATCACCTTTTTATCAAGATCACTGTTGATATTATTTCACATTTTTTACCAGATCCGAGAATAGTCCGAACTGTCTTGGATTTATCTGTCACTCGTTTTTGTCAGGGGGAACAATCGTCTAATCCATTTTTTATTTGATGAATCATTCCTCATATTTACTTAAATGTCATCTATTACTATTTATTATCAGTTACTTTTCCATTATTACTCATACTTTATGAATATTTAATATTTATTATTATCAACCTCTTATTGGATATGTCCCACCTTATTCACGCTCTCAGTATTTGCATCTAGAGATATTATCATTAATTAGGTTTAACACATTATTTCATAAAAATAATAGTTTCAACCAAAAGTTGTACTTTTTGGTCAAACATTAATGTCACTGAGTTTACCCATTATAGGCGTAGTATAACACCTCGAACTTTAGACAGAGCCCCACATCGTCAAAACACAAGAGAGATGGTGGATATCTGAGTTAATAAGCCGTATACCCTATTAATGTATTTTAAACCTATGAGAGCCTAGAGCCATAGCAGATAATATCACTAGCAAGTCGGGTTATTTCTATTTAGGATAGGGTAGGGGTTAAGCGGTAGGGTAGGGAGTTGGGGTGGTGAGAGGTGGGTTGGGGTGGGTGGAAAATTATAATTTTACTACTTTTTAATTATTCCGATATTTGTTAGTATTATAAAGTGAATAACTATCAAATAAAGTTCTAAATCCAAATTGAAGAAAGAAATTATTTGGCATGAATTGACATTTATTCAAAAATATAAGATAATATATGCTTGTTTAAAAGTTGAGAATGTTACAAAAATTTGGCGGCTTGGGTTACAACCTATTGTTTAGCTCATCTTGACCTAACCCATCTTAATCCAAGTGAACTTTGGACGGGGTTGGGTAATGACCCATGCAATGAGTCAGCCCATCTTCACCAGTCCAAACAATCCATTTGCCACCCGTACTCACGGGTTTAAAACACGTCATTTGTTTGCCACCCGTCACTAGGGTCTAATGCCTCATTTGTTTGCACTTAATGAAGGTTTGAATCTTAATCATTCAAATCTCAGATACTAAGTGCGTTTATTTTTTAAGTCTAATTGATTATTCAGAATTTAATCATTAGGTGTGTTTGTTTTTTAATTTCTCATCCAATTAATGGGCCTGAATAGATCTTATTGATTAAGATCTATAACAGACACTTAATTTCATTAAGATACTATCATTCACATTCATTACTAACTGTCACCACCACCCACAATTGTCACCTGCCACTATGCACCATGTGCCATCCAACCATCAGCACACTCAACCACCACCAAACTCAAATACCACCACTGATTACCACCATCTTCAACCATAGCCGCCACTGCTATCATTATCGACTATTATCACCCCCAACTCTATCATTATCGGCTACCACCACCCACCATCCCCGTTATTATCAACTAATGCCACCAACATCATCCTCATTATTATCAACTAATGCCACGAACCATCATCCTTAACTACAACCACCCACACAGTCACCTCAACTACCACCATCAACTACGCATACCATCATCATCAATCATAGCTGCCATTATCCACTATTATAAACTACTACCACTTTCTTCAATCTTAACTATCACTATCAATCACCGCTAACTACTACCTAGAACCACCACCATCAATCACCAATATCTACTACCTAGATCCACCACCATCAATCAAAATTACCACCAACCACCACCTCCATTCAATATCCATAAGCGCTACCATCAGTCACCACCATCACTAACTACCATATTTTTAAAAAAATTATTTATTAATAGAATATTAAATTAATTAGTATTTTTCTTGAATTGTTTATTTATTAATTTTTAAATAAGGATAAATTATATACATTCCGATGTTAAAAAAATAAACAGTCTTAATCATTTGATATTCATATATTAATAAACAACTTAAATATTCAAATGTATATTCAGATTAAGATGTTATAATCTTAATATCCAGAAGTGCATTCAGATTAAGACGTATTAATCTTTCAAAAAACAAATGAGGCTCAAGACTTCTTAACTTATATACTCAGCATCTCTATTGTGTTTTGTCGATTTGGGACTCTGTCTAAAGTCTGGGTATTAGTTAGGATATTATATACAACAACAACAACCCAGTATAATCCCACTAGTGGAGTATGGGGAGGGTAGTGTGTACGAAGACTTTACCCCAACCGTGGGGTAGAGAGGCTGTTTCCAATAGACCATCGGCATCCTTCCCTCCAAGAACCCCCACCTTGCTCTTGGGGTGACTCGAACTCGCAATCTTATACACACTTTCCGGTAAATACTTAACAAAAAGAGTACTATCTTTTTTGTCATTGTGTAGTTATTGCAAAACATAGAGTGGTGGCATAGCCAAAAAGGTGGTCTTGCTCAACTTGAACTAGTTACAGCCTCCTTTGCGTGTAGATGAGCAGTAGCATTGCCTTGGTGGAAGTGATGATTGAGTTTTAGTAGACTCATACACAACACACACATAAGTGGCTCAAGCGCCAAATGGCTTCCCGTCGATCATTTGCCACGAGCAAATAAGTGACAGTTAAAATAAAGCACTTTCCAAAATTATGCCCATCTTGCAATTTTCATGTCTAACTAACACGTATGCATGAGTTATAGAAGAATGATTGAGAAAAAAATTAATAAAAATGAAACTTCATACAACAACCAAAAAAAACTAAAATCAGTGTAATCCTATAAGGAGAGTTTGGTAAAGATAGCGAGTACGTAGTTTTACTCCTAAGTCCTACCTTGTATAAATATAGAGGTTATTTTCGATAAATCCTTGACTCCTAACAAATATGAAACATCATAATTATCTTATATAGCATAAAGGTACACTCTCATGATACCAGTTAATGCATTGAGCATGACCTAGACAATCCAACTAAATATCTCGCCCGCCTCAAATTATGTGTTATTTTACGTTTCTCGAGAGTCAATTTAACTTATCCGGAATCAAGGAACTATATTAGCTTGTTTGGCCAAACTTCTCCCATCCTAGAAGTAATTTTTTTCAAAAAAAGTATTTTTTGTTTTCAAAGTTAAAGTGTTTTGCCAACCTTTTGGAAAAAAAATGCTTTCGAGGAGAAGAAGCATCAGTTTTGGAGAATCAAAAAAAAAAAAGTAGCTCATCTCCAAAAGCATTTTTTTGAAAGCACTTTTGAGAAAAATACACTTAGAAACAATTTTAAAAGCTTGGTCAAACACCAACTGCTGCTCAAAAGTGCTTTTCAAATTAATTAGCAAAACACAAATAATTTCTCGCCAAAAGTACTTTTGAGAAAAACACTTTTGAAAAGAAACATTTATAAAAAATAAACTGATTTTTGTAACTTAGCCAAATATGCTATAAACCTCTTTAACATATCTAGTGAAGATGATATAGGAACTATCTATTCATGCACTGCCTAACAATACTTGGGAATTTGTTGTAGGTGCTGCGTTTGGTGATTTTTAAAACTGGTTATTAAATTATGGTGCTAAAAAAATTGTTAATATACTTTGAATTGATGTTGGATTTTTTTAAAGTGTAATTGATGCTGAAATTTTGAAATTATTAAACCTCTTTTCGACTTTCTTCATTGTGTGTGCTAAAGCTATAATTTTTCATGAAGGGGGGA